CATCACACATGGAAGAAGGGGGGATGCAAACGGCATAGCCCAAGATTTGGTTGCAGTGCTGCATGGTGCCTTCCCTTCTGCCCCTGCAAGCCATATTTGAGCCTGCAGCACCAGCCATGCCAGCCTGGAGCTCTTTGCTAGCAGTCCCACTGCTCACTTGTGGTGTCATCTTGCATGCAAGGGCCAGCACAGGTACCTGCCCCGGGCATGAGCACCACAGGCCCATTTTAATGTAGCTAACCTTGGGCACATCCTTTTGCCAGCGCTGGCCAGGCCATAAGCTGACCCTTGCTGTCAGATATCCACCCTGCTCCCTCTCCTATGCCTGCTCTGCCTGTCCCAGGAGTGTTTGCTGGTGTCACTCAGGATTCATTCCAGATCCTTTGCTCTTTTATTCTGCCCCTTGATTTCCTGCCCTTGCAGTTACCTATAGTTGGTGAAAACTTTTCCTTCTCGCTGCAGGATATTCTGATAAAGCCTCCCACTGCCTCTGGCATGTCCGTGCAAGGCGTAAGCTTGCTTGTGCTGTGACATGTTCACCAGGGGTTGAGTCAATGCTAAGAAGATGTCTTCTCTGATTACCACCACTGACAGCTGTGTCACCAAGCTGCTGAACATGCCTGGCCAGACCTGTTATGGCCTCACCAGGCCCTGGTCCAGGCTGCCCTGTCCAGGAGATACTTTGGGATGAGTGAACAGGCAGTGTGAGAGGAGGGTGGCTCGCTGTCCTCCTCCTCCATGCAAGCACGTGGGCCTCAGCCAACACGCTGACCTCGGTGTTGCTCAGATACCTCTCTGCCTTCCTGGGTTGCTTCCTCCACTGCTGTGGGTTGCATCCGTCCTGCCATGCTGCAGTCTGCACACCCAGATTTTGGCAAAGGAAAGATATTCAGCTGCAGAAGGGACCCTTTCACAAGCCTGTGGAAGGGACACGTGCTCCCATGGGAGGGCCATGCCACAGCACGCCTGGGACATGTCTCAGTAGGATCCTTGTGGTGACAGAGATGGTGAGAAGCATGGAGAGACCCTTCGAGGTGCACTGGCAGCATGCACTCTGTGGAGCATGGAGGTTTTAACCACTCCTAACTCACGTGGATTTTAGAGTGGGAGTTTGGATCAAGTGAGCAAGGTGAGGTGGGGCAGGAGGAGGGAGGAGAGGTCTGCTTGTTTCAAGCTACGACATACCTGATGTGTTCAGTTGTTTGCATGAAAAGGGATGTGATTCACACACATTTGTTGGCAATAAGGCCAGTCAGAAGGGAATTCCTTGCAGCCACAGTTGGAGCCCCCCCGGGTAAGTCAGGGGCTCTGCTGGAGCTGTGCTTTGACCAAATTGACACAAGTTTCCCATGCGAGCCTGCTTCCTGCTCACCCTGCTTTACAGAAGGCCTGAGATGCATGGACCGTTTCTGATTTTCCAGTTTCTTTCCTCCACTCCCAGCACATCTAGGACTGAGGTCCTGCATGTTGGGGAAGTTGCAGTGAAGAGTCCCACCGTGGAAGCTGAGCTGCTGCAGGTGCTGCACTAAAAAAGCTGTTTCCAGAGTACCCCAAGCAGATGGTGTGAGCAAGGCACCACATATCCTGGCCAGTATCTTTTTTTTGACCCTCTGAATTCCTACAAGAGACCTTAATATACATTAACATGTAGGCTTTATGTTATTTTATTCCTTTACGGGAGCGGAAATGAAGGGCCCAAAATGCATCTTATTTTCTAGGGCTTCTTGATGAGTCAGGAGGACAGCTGGGAGCCAAGCTCAGAGCAAAACCTGCAGCATCCAGCCCCACCACATGTCAGCTTGCAGGGCAGGATCCCAGCTGAATGCAAGCTGTCCTGGGGTGGAGGGAGCTGGAGTAGCAAAGTATGGTCATGCAGCAGGAGCCCTTTCCTTAGAGACTATAAAATCACTGAAGGGAGGCCTGAACAAGCCCATATTTCAGCTGTGGACCACTGAAAGGGAAGTATGCAAAGGGCTGTGTTTGTGCCATGGGTGAGTCTGATGGACGGTACCAACTATGCAGTTCATAGCCCTGTCCACGGGTGCTTGGAAGGTTATCAGAATCCTGAAAGAGGAGAGACCACAGGAAAACCTGTCCAGGTGTCTATTCCAAGTCTTCCTCTTTGCAGGTGCATTGTGAGAGATGACGCAGCCGCTCCCCATCAGGCAGCTTCCTGGGCCACAGCTGTGGACAGCTGGAGCACAACAGTAAAATCCCCCTGGCTGTGTCAGCCCATACTGGGCAATGCTGGATGGAGGACAGCTGACAGGCTGGTGGAACATGGTGCTGACCTGGCCCCACGGCTTGGTATGTCCTGCCCACAGCAGACAACAGTTGCTGGAGAGAAATCATGCTGTCACTGAGCCTGGTGGAGAATTTCAGCTGGATAAATCACTGAAAGCAAAAGACCAATGAGAAGGAAACCAGAGGGTGCCTCCCAGATCTGCAAACCACCTCTTCATTGGCTCTGGGGCACCCATTCTATGACAGGGAGAGCAACAAAGCTCTTTCCCAGCAGTAGGGTGAACTACAGGCCCCTGCCTGGCATGTAGGAGGACAGAAGGTTTGTTAGTAAGCCACTAATCCCTGCTGGTAAATGCAAAATCCTCAAGACGAAGGCTGCTAAAACTAAGGGTTGGCAACTTATAGTAGAAAAGTTGCAGTGTGTGATGGCTTCTGAAGGACTTTAGAAGTGCTGGGTTTGTCCTGCTTCGCAGGAGATCAGTGTGATTTCCAGTTAGGGTTGTTAAACGATGTGCCACATGTACCCCGAAACTCATGGGGCTGTGCCTGGACCGTGACTCTGAGGGGAGTGCTGGAGGAGTGCAACTCCCATAGCTCCTGGGGAGCTTCAAAATTATCCATGCTAGATTGCCTAGGCTGCATGGCCAAATTGAGGTTTTCTTCAAAGCCCTCTTTTTGTAATACGGAACTTGGAGGTAACCATAGCACTGGCTGGTGGAGAGAAATACCTTGCAGGGTTTGGCTTTGGCTGTATTTGTCCATGGAGCGAGCCTGGGCTTGGAGATTGGTGGTCTCAGGATGAAACTCCAATAGGTAATGTGCTAAAATTGGGCATCTGGATGGATGTGGACTTGTGCTGGAGACTTTGACTTCATCCATGTGGTTTGGTAGTAGAGACTTAGTCCCTGCACCCTAGGGAAGCCCCTTCACAGGAAGGAATAGTTAGATCTTGTGTTAATAACAACTGAATGAATAATATGAGGCCACGCCGCAGCTTTCCAGGACAGTGATTTTATACCATATGGCTAAGGAAGCTTTGTTGCATGTGCTACCATGTGGTGTGAGGGCAGCTGACCAATTTGGAGTGTAAAGCCTGATGAGGTCGTGTTGGAGAGGCGTGGAGAGCATCTCTGGAGTGATGCTGCCTGCAGGATACAGCCCATGGAGGGTGGTATCATCTGAATTACTCCTGGGTTTCATCTTGGAGGAAACCAACAATGTCCTCCCAAATGGAGTCACAGAAGAGACTTTGTCCTCAAGCAGTGTGGGCAGCCAGCAGACTAACACCAGAGCAGGGAGCTGCAGCATAGATGTGCCCTTCAAAACTAGGGGGCATCCTTAACAGAAAATACACACCAGCACCAGCTACTTTTGTCTCTGGAACTGTTTCTGGCCTCTTTGATGAGGAGAGACTCTGCATGGAGTGGCAGATGATGCTCACCAGTCTACAGGTTTGCACCTCCTGCAGCCTCTGGCCAGACAACGCTCCCAGAGAGTGCACTAAACCATGGAAAACACCAAGGATCCTGCAGTAGGCTGTACCTGTTCTCTGACACCAGACCACTGCTCTCCAGACTGGGGAATACTGTGCCAAGTTCAAGGTTACGGACTTTTACCTTTTGAGTGCTCCTTGGCCCCAGCCCAAACCACCACAAAAATTGCCTGTGGCTTCAGAGCAAGTGCCTCCCTGGGCACAGCAGAGCTTCAAGGTTTCAGTAGCTTACCTAGGCAATGGCAGCAGGGCAGCCTCGCTCAGCGCAGGAAATGTTAAGGACTGGGCTGAGAATGGGTCTGCTGCGGGAGGTACCACCGTAGGCAGCTCCTGCCTCCAAGCCCAGAGACACGGAATCACGCTGGTCCCATGGGAGACCCCAGGTCCAGCCTCTTGCTCTGACAGGACTGGTCGCTCAGGGGCTTTTCCGGTCGAGTTTTGACTGTCTCCAAGGGCTGAGACCCTACGACCACTCTGGGTCCCTGTTCCAGCATTTGCCTGCCTTCTTGGTGAAAGGAATATTTATTTTCTCACTAATTACGCAAGATCTGTAAAATTCTTTGCAGGGGGGGAAAGGCGCTCAGCGAACTCCTGTGGCTCTGTACTCACCCAGCCAGACGGCGGTGGGGAAGTGAAGTGTCAGGAATCAAAATGGAGGTTGTTTTCTGCAGGGCACTGAGTGCGGCCATGGCCTCTGGGCCCGTTTTGGGGCTGGTGAAGGAGGATCACGATGGCACCCTGGGCTGTTCCCCTGCGCCTGGCAAAATGGCAAGGGACTGGCCCTGAGGGCGCGTGGCTCATGAGGGACACCGCTGAGGAAGGGAGACGTGGCTGACGGGGCAGTGCTTGTTAGTGGGAGAACACTGCTGGCATGAGGGAACATGGCCAGTGATGGGGGGCATGGGCTGACTGGGGGACAACACTGACGGAGGGGCCGTGGCTGACAGGGGTGGACACCACTAATGGGAGCCACGGCTGCCAGGGGAACACCGCTGACTGCGGGAGACACCGGTAATGGAGACAGCTGACAGCGTGAGACACCAGTGGCAGAGGGACAGGGCTGACGGGAGGTCATGGCTGACGGGGGGAGATACCGCTGAGCGGTGTGACATGGCTGACAGGGGGACGCCACCGGCAGAAGCGGGGCGATGGCGGGGAGCAGCCATGGCTGCCGAGGGTGGTCATGACTGGCAGGGGGACGTCTTCCCGGCCGCCGCAGGCGCTGTGGGGCGGCCCCCGCCGCCGTGAGGGCGGGCCGCCGCCTCCGCCCTCCCCGCCTCCGGCTCCGCGCCGCTTTGAAGCGGGCTCGGCGGCCGCTAGCCCGCCCAGAGCCGCCGGCGCCCCGCCATGGTGCTGCCCGGGGAGCAGGCCCGGTTGTACCGGCCGCGGCCCGAGCTGCTGCCCGCGGCGCACGTCCCCTCGCTGCCTCACTACGAGCGCCTCTACCAGCGCTCCGTGGAGGAGCCGCACGGTGAGCACCGGCGGCGGGAGCCGCCTCCGTGCCCGCCCGCCCCGGGCGAGGGCCGCGGCGGGGCGGGGGAGGCCGGCGGGGGGAGCGGTTCCGGGAGGGGGCGGCTGGGCCGCAGTGCCGCGGCGAGCCCCCACGCGTGGGGTGCGGGAGCGTGGGGACTGACCCTCTTGGTCCCGTGTTGTGTTCCTTAGCCGCGCCGGTTTCTAGGTCATGAGCTCTGGCCGTTGCTTTTGCAGAATTCTGGGGTGACATTGCTAAAGAGTTTTACTGGAAGAGCCCGCACACAGGACCCTTCCTGAAGTACAACTTCGATGTGACAAAGGGGAAGATCTTCATCGAGTGGATGAAAGGGGCGACCACCAACATCTGCTACAACCTCCTGGACAGAAATGTCAATGAGAAGAAACTCGGGGACAAAATTGCCTTTTACTGGTAAATTTCTTCTTTTATTGTGGTGTAGAAGATGTGTAAATACCATGGTAAAGCGTGTGGTGTTGATTTCTACTGAAGTGAATTAAAACATGGTAAAAGCTGCGAGGCTTTTATCTTTACATAGGTCTAGCAGGTGTTTGCTTTCTGCACATTTGAGAAGAGCTGTGCAGTGGAGCTTCTCTGCTCATCCTGGATGCACGGAGCTGGCCCAGCATAGCAGTGGGTTGCTCCTGACCTCCAGCTCTGCCTTTGCGGTTGTACCTGCTACAAGCTAAGAGCAGTGAGATAGTATTGTGTCACAATTCCCTAGTGGAGGAGGTAGCTGTGGGTAGAGACATAGGATGAGGAACAGCTAACATCAAACAGCACAAAGCTAATAAACCCCAGATCTCCGGTCTTAATTTTTTGTGGGTCTGACACATTTCCACTCCTGTGGCAGAAAGACTCTCCTAAAACCTGAGCTTATATCTTGATTCCTTGCACTTGAACATGTATAACACAGGGATGCTTTCAGAAAGGCTGGCTTTTCTACATTGTCTTTCAGAAGAAGAGTTAACTTCTAGCCCTCCCTGAACTATGTTTGTATTTTTTTTTACCAGAGTAGTTACTAGTGTTAAAAGCCATATGAAACTTGAAATTTTCATATTGATGCAAAATAGGTTTCACTGGTGATGTCCAAGATCCAGAACGAGTGCTCCGCTGCAGAACTAGCTCAGCTGCTACCACAGCTGTGTCCCCAAACTGAGAATAGTGCCTTGCCCACCCATGTGTTTTACTGTTTCTCTCGAACTAGCATGCATTTATGTTGCATCAGAATGACTGTATGTGGCAGTACAGAAGCACAATTAAATGTACCACTTGCTAGGGATGTAGTAACTTGTTGGGTTACGGTGACTCTGTTCAGCAGAGCAGCTGAAGCCTTGCTGTCATTGCAATAAAAATATCCGACGCTCTTAATGATGAACAACTGTGCTGTTCTAAGTGCTTTTGTGCAGCTGAAGGTTTCCCCCCACCAGTCACCTGGCATAATGGTGACTAGGGGCTACCCTGCCACAGAAAGGACGTACTTATACCAGTGTAGTTCTGGATGTGACTGTAAAATTGGTTTCGTACTAGAATTTGTATCCATAGAGTTACTGCTTCAGTAAAAGAATTACACTGCCTAGCAAATAATCATATTGATAAAACACAGGTGAAATGGTGGAAAGTATTTACTTCCCTGCTAGTTAAATATGTTCTCTAACTCACTCAGATGTAAAATGACTGTAGCTTCTGAATGAAAACTCCTTTGTAAACTCATTCAGGTAAAGGTGTGCCAGCAAACAAAGCCATTTGGCAGGCCAGTGCTGGCAGCTGTGCTGGGGTTTAAGGAGGGAGTGGGTGTATCATTATTCTTGCACATAAACCTTTGGGTGACAGCTGGGCAGCAGCCTACAGCTTTAATTTGGTCTTGGTGAAGGTTTCCCTTCTTAGTTATTTTTCTGGAAGCCTTTGTGGGGTGTTTGTGATGCTGAGCAAAACTTGGAATGGATATTAAAATTGTGGGTGTCTGTCAGTCGAGTTGTTCACAATGCTGAAAAATAAGGTCTATCTTCCTTCTCAGCAGACAGTTTTCCTTGACTATTTTGGGATAAACTCCCCTAGTGTGGTTCTGTCACAAGTGACCTGGCACTGGGGAGTCTGGAGCTGTCAGCTGGGAATGTTGGTGGGAGGAATGGAAGAGGCACGCTGAACGTGACGTGTGTGGGACTGACCTGCAGACTGGGGTCTTGGGGAAGTGGGCCTGAGGGTTGCTACTTGTAAAATTGCTGTTCTAGGAGAGTGCACATGCCTCCCTGGACACGTGCTGTTCTTCAGTAACAAAATGTAATTGCTGTCGTCCTTTCACATATTGCGTTTAACGCTGTTGAATAAGCCTGCTTTCCTAAAACACTTGAGACTTGTCACACTGTATGAAAGGTCAAAAATGAAATGAGAGGTCCTGAAAGCCAAAGAGGATTCCTGGGAAAAACTTGGATTTTTTTTTTTTATTTTTTTTTTTCTTTAAATACCTTGGCCACTTGTGTCTAAGAAAGTCTATAGCCTGCTAGATGGGAAAAGGTCCTGAGCTTATACCAAAGTATTGATGACTGTCCAGCTCTGAGAGCTTTGAAAAGGTACAAGACAATGGTCTTTGCTTTCAGAGAGGAGAAATTAGGGAAAAAGTGAATAATGTTTTGAGGCATTGCTGAGTGCCTCGGAGAAGAGATGTGTCATGACAAAGCTCAGAGCTGCTGTGTGCTGCTGACCGTGGCTGTCTCAAGTTTTACATGGACTGGAAGGAGTGAGCAGTTCACCCGGATCTGTTACGGCCACGCTGCTCCGAAGGCTCCTGCACCACTAGCAGTCTAGGACTGCCCACGTTGGCTCCACTTGGAGGGTCTGATCCCAAGCCACATGGCATTGCTCTTTCAGCACAAAGGGCAGTACATGGAATTGCTTCATGCTGCAGAACTTGTACATAGGTGATGTTTACTGTTGTGGTATCATCCTCTTGGTACTGTTACGACTATATAGTTCAAAATTACTGTCCCGAGTTGATAGGAAACACTTGTGTTTTCCCTGTTGCCTGTTTTCAGTATGATATCTCTTGCTGCTTGTGAATGTTGCAAGTATTTCTGTTTTCTGCTGCTTTTGATTCCTCTTTCTCTGGTATTGTTGATGTGGCCTAAAAAGGAACAGAAACTCCAGGAAACGTTTCTGATAAAGTGGTGCTCTCAGAAGTGAAATCTCTTTCATAATTGTGTGGAAAGGCTGAAGTCAATAACACTGGTTACTGTGCAGGTAGATACCTGTGGTGGCTTTTGCAGGCCTTGCAGGTGAAATGCACTGGACAAACTGGCTGGGATGCTGAGGGCATTTGTGGGGGACTTGAAGCAGTGCTGAGGACTTCGTCTGTGGTGGGTAGTGTTAATTAGAACAGGAGCACAGTATGCCTTCACCGTGCTGTAGGCATACCTGCATCACATGGACAAACCCTTAGTTGTGTGCTGAAGTGCCTGTTAATAATCTCATATAAACATCAGCCTGGGCAGCTTGTGCAGGTAAAAATATAACCAGGTGGGAATTCCAAAAGAACAACGCCTGTTACAAAGCTCTCACTTATTAGACCTGGGGATGTGAAGGTACCTGGATGAAGCCTGTTCTATATGTAACTTGTGCAGAGCTGAATTGCTAAATTCTTGTCTTTGTTTCTCAAACCAGCCACACCAGCTGCTTTACTGGTGGTGTCTGGTGGGACCAGGGGGCTGGGGCAGAAGTTAAAGCTTTGCACATTACTTCTAGCCTCCCTGTAGCCTAGGTGCCTGGGCTTAGCAGAGTGCTGCTGGCATCTGCCATCTTTGGGAGACTGTAACAATTTTCTTCTTTCTTATGCTTGCATATGAAATAACGTATCTCTAAAGGAGAAACAGATAGTAAAGGCTGCCAGAGCTTACTGGAGATTTGTTTAAACAAAAAAATAACAGCCTATGTTTCCCATTCTTGGCCTAGAACAAACATGACATGCAAAGATAAAATGGAGAAAGGGGGGTTCGGGTGTTTTGGTGTATGGTTTTTATTTATTTATTTATTTTTGTTTTTAAAATATAATAAATGATTTGGGGTCTTGTAGCTGTGAGATTTCTTCAAATAAATCTTTCTGTAAGGAAAAACCAATGACTATAGAGCATGTTTAAAAAAAAACAAAAAAAAAAAAAAACAAAAAAACAAAACAAAAAAAAAAAAAAAAACAGAGCAACACAAAAACCAAACAAACAAAACCACCAAATTATTAGGAAACTGGAAATAGCTTTTGGACAGCAGCCTTCCAGAGAGGATACAGACTGTCAAACACTGGTTCAGTCTGAACATGCTGCTGGGGCCAAATGGGACAACACCACACCTGCCAATTCCTGGGGCCCTGCTCTTCCTCGCCATGGACTGCTTCATTCTGGGATGTGCCATCCCAGAGACAGAAATGAAGCCAGATGGAGCTGTGTTTCAGTTACATTTCTGCTGTAAAGGCTTGAACCTCTTCTGTTTGCAGAAATAATCTTACTGTAAACTACTGAGAACAAAGTGTTTAGTCTCCATAATCCAGTTCAGCACTGTGGGTTTTTTTTTTTAGATAGCTTTGCAGCTATCAGTCTTCCGTTACTGTCATCTACACAAATTCTGTGACTGAGGGTGCTGGCTGTTAACATCCAGACTTTCAGACATGCTTAATTGTGGCCAGATTCTACACGATACACTCAGCTCTGCTACTCCCACTGGCTTCAGGACTTAAGCGTCCTGTGCCAAACTGACTCTTCATTTCTTTGGTAACTTCCTGGATGACTTGTCACGATTCCAGTGATGCAGCCTCTTTCAACACAGTTCTGGTAGTGAATAGCCCATCCCTAAATCACAGTTTGTTTAAAGAACAAAAATTCACCACTGGGAAGATTGCTTTTACTGATACACATTTACAGGCGGGTGCCTGCAGGCTGCTAACAGCAGTCAAAGCTGCGAGGCAGGTGCTACCAAACAGCTCTACCCAATGCTGCTGTTTCCTCCTTACTGCTGTGGAGGGATTAGTTCCATAGGGAATCTAAATAAGCTCTACAACAGTGAGAAGCGTCACGGAAAAGTTACCATGTGTTTGGTTTATGCTCGCAGCACTACACAAGCTCAGCACAGCTCTTTTCCCTGACAGGGATTCTCTATGGGAGAAGCGGTGGCCCGACTCAACCCTGAAAAGCAGAGAGGCTTTCTGGGGTGCATCCTCAGCAATCTGTGTCACCTCCCCATTGTGTGTACTGAGTAGTGGAGTGATAGATTGGTGGTCGCAGCAGATATTAATTATTTTTGAAGCGTTGCTGGATGGAACAATGCTCTGTTTCTGGAAATCAGATGGATTAGGTGCACCTAAAGTATGTAATAAAATACCTTGAATGTACTTGTATTCCATTACCCTTCTTCAAGGGCAATGATAGTTCCAG